CTGGCTTCTTTCTCCCAGCCTCGCACTGGTGCTTCTTGTTGCCCTCTGGTTTCCAGGTTCATCCGGGGGTGGAACTTCCGGGAGTCTGTGTGGCCAGGGTTAGAAGACTGTGCCACCCAACCACTGCTGGGGCTGGGCCCACCACATCCTGTCTCATAACATCCTGTGGTCACCACTGAGGCTGGCCAGCGTCTGTCTGGCTCTGGGCTTCCTGTGACAGGCAGCAGGGGGTGGCGGGCCTCAGCTGCTGTTCTCTGGGGTGTGGTGGTTCAGCCGCAGGATTGGCCCACCTGCTTTGCATGAGTAGTAGGAAATCAAAATAAGACGTGATTAAGTAGGATTCAAAATCACATGTGATTAAAATTTTTTTAAAAATATTTTATTTTTTATTAAAATTTTTTTTAACATTTTTTTATTTTTGAGAGACAGAGGTCAAGAGGGGCAGAGGGAGAGGTGGGCTCCAGGCTCTGAGCTGTCAGCACAGAGCCTGACACAGAGCTCAGACTCACAGACTGTGAGATCATGACCTGAGCCGAAGTCAGATGCTCAACCGACTGAGCCACCCAGGCGCCCCTGTCCTTGAACTCCTTATAAACAGATTATATAAATAGATTATATAAACATATATGTGCACTTGAGTGTCTGGCTCCTGTCATTCAACAGAATGGCTTTGAGTCTAGCCATGTTGTTTGTTGCATGTATGCATTACTTTTTTTACTGTTATATAGTATTCCACGGTGTGAATATACAATTTCTTAATCTCTCTTTTTTAAATATATTTTTTAATATATATATTTTTTTATTTCTAAGAGAGAGAGAGAGACAGCGTGAGCAGGGGAGGGTCAGAGAGAGAGGGAGATACAGACTCTGAAATAGGCTCCAGGCTCCGAGCTGGTAGTCAGCACAGAGCCTGACGCAGGGCTTGAACCCACGAACTGCGAGATCATGACCTAAGTGAAAGTCAGACGCTTAACCGACTAAGCCACCCAGGCGTCCCTCTTTTTTTTTTTTTTTCTTTTTTTTTTGCAAAAGCAAAGGGCGTTTATTCAGGCTTAAGCTCGGACTCCCAGACCTCACCAACGCAGTGGATCCGTGCTGAGAGCCCCCAGGCGCCCCTCTTAATCAACTCTACTGTTGATAGACTTTTGGTTGGTTTCTACTTATTGGTTATTATGAATATTTAGGTATGTTCTTTGGCCGGACATGTTTGTTCCCCTGTTGGGAAAATATCTAGGAGTGGAATTGCTGGGTCATAGGTTAGGTGTGTATCTGGAGATACTATCCAATAGTTGTCTAAAATGGCTGCACCGTTTTACATTCTCTCTGGTGTGTGTTCGAGATTTCAGTTTGCTCCACATTGTCATCAGCACTTGATATTTTCCTTCTTTTTTCATCGGAGCCTTTCTGGTGGGTGTGTAGTAGAACCACATTGTGTTTAATGTTTGTTTATTTTTGAGAGACAAAGAGACAGAGCACGAGCGTAGGAGACCCAGAATCCGAAGCAGGCTCCAGGCTCTGAGCTGTCAGCACAGAGCCCGACGCGGGGCTCAGACCCACGAACCATGAGATCATGACATGAGCCGAAGTCAGATGCTAAACCGATCGAGCCACCCAGGCGCCACAGCCCATTTTTCTATTGGGTTGCCTTTTTTTTTTTTAATTCTTTATGAGGGTGCTCACTGTGGTATGAACAAAAGTGTCAGAAACCACCTAATAACCACAGGAAATGATTAAATCAACGGGTTTCAAGCCAAGAATGGATTTATTATGCTGTTGAAAGGGGGAAATAGAGGTGTTTTAAAGTGTATTTACAAAAACATCATTCAGAAAATGAAAGTGATGGGGCCCTTGGGTGGCTCTAGTCGGTTAAGCATCTGACTCGGGTTTGGCTCAGGTCATGATCTCACAGTCATGGGATGGAGCCTTGCATGGAGGTCTACGCTGACAGCACGGGGCCTGCTTGAGAGATTTTTCTCTTCCTCTCTCTCTGCCCCTTTCCTGCTCTCTCTCTCTCTCTCTCTCAAAATAAATAACCTTAAAAAATGGTAAAAGCACCTTATTGGAACAGTTGACGAAATTTGAATAAGAACTGCAGATTCCATCGGTATTACATTTTCTACTTGCTCTGTGGTGAAGAGGCATGGGATTCCCAGCTCACTCTCTAGTGATTAAGGGGAAAATGCAAAGATATAGATATATGTACCTACATAGACGTAGAACTTCTGCATCAAGTTCCCACGGCCTGCCAGCCCCCACAATTCCAGAAGCCTGTTTCTGAAGACAAATATCCCGCTCTTCCTCCTTCCTTGTCTCACTCTCTCTCTCTTCCTCTCCTCTCCGTTTCTTTATCCTATTAAAAAAATTATTGGGGTGCCTGGGTGGCTTAGTCGGTTAATCGTCTGACTTTCGCTTAGGTCATGATCTCTCGGTTCTTGGGTTCGAGCCCCGCGTCGGGCTCTGTGCTGACTGCCAGCTCAGAGCCTGGATTCTGTTTCAGTCTGTGACTCCCTCTTTCTCTGACCCTCCCCTGCTCACGCTGTCTCTCTCTCTCTCTCCTGAAATAAATAAAAAAAATATTAAAAATAAAAAAATTATTCTGGGGTACCTGGGTGGCTCAGTTGGTTGAGCCTCCGACTTCGGCTCAGGTCATCATCTCACGGTTCGTGGGTTCGAGCCCCGCGTCAGGCTCTGTGCTGACAGCTCGGAGCCTGGAGCCTGCTTCGGATTCTGTGTCTCCCTCTCTCTTTGTCCCTCCCCCGCTCACGCTCTCTCTCTCTCTCTCAGAAATAAATAAAACATTAAAAAAATAAAAAAATAAATTATTCCGAGAGAGCGAAACAGAGAGTGGCGGAGGGACAGAGAAAGAGAGGGAGACACAGAATCCACAAGCAGGCTCCCCACTGTCAGCGCAGAGCCTGGTGCAGGGCTCGAACTCATGAACCCGTGGGATCATGACCTGCGCTGAAATCAAGAGTCGGATGCTTAACCGACCTAGCCAGCCAGGTGCCCCCCTCTTTATCCTTTGATTCTGTTTTTCTAGAGAACCCTGACTGATTACCTGCGGCGCTTCGAAGCATACAGTGGGAGCATACTTTTTTAATTTTATTTTAATGTTTTTTTATTTATTTCTAGGAGGGAGAGAGAGAGACAGCGTGAGCAGGGGAGGATCAGACAGAGAGAGAGGGAGTCACAGACTCCGAAACAGGCTCCAGGCTCTGAGGTGGCAGTCAGCACAGAGCCCGACGCGGGGCTCGAACCCACGAACCGCGAGATCATGACCTAAGTGAAAGTCGGACGCTTAACCGACTAAGCCACCCAGGCGCCCCAGTGGGAGCATACTAAAGACAGCACAGCACATGGGGCAAATGCAACAGTGAGTGAATCCAGGTGAAGGGCATACAGGAATTACTTTTATTCTCCTTGCCACTTTCATTTAAGTTGCAAATTACATCAAAATAAGAAGTTGCAAAAAGAAAGAAAAATTCTGAGAAGTTCGTGCCTTCTTCTAGGGCATAGGACACATTAAGAACCCATGGGGGTGCCTGGGTGGCCCAGTCAGTTGAGCAACTGACTTCTGCTCTGGTTTGATCTCACTGTTTGGTTCCTGGGATCCAGCCCCGCCCCAGGCTCTGTGCTGACAGTGCAGAGCCTGCTTGGGATTCTCTGGCTGTCTGCCCCTCCCTTGCTCATGCTCTCGCTCTCAAAAAGAAATAAACATAAGAGAAAAGAAAAGAAAACGTGAAGAAGCCGTGATTTAAGGCAACACACAACTTTGGTCCAAAACTAAAAAAGCAAAATCAAGGGAGTGTGGCCTGGCTTTCTGAGTCTCTCACAACTCAAGCGCCCCCTTGAGGTCAGGGTCAGTATAACAACACCTCCTCGCTACCGGCACCAAATCTTCACAAAATGGCCCTTCTAAATCCTTGCTGAGTACCGGTAGACCAGTGGCACTAAAACTTGCCCAACATTGTGCCCCCTCCTGTCGGTCCCCAAACACAAATACCACACTTGTAAAAGTCTAGGTGAACACACTCTGAACTCCATAAGACCTTCAGAAGCCTGGCAGTGGAGATCGGTTAATTTTCTTTTTCAACTTTTCTTTTGGTAGGAGGAGTGTATTTCTTTTTCACATTTATTTAATTTTGGGAGAGAGAGACAGAGCGTGAGTGGGGGAGGGATAGAGAGAGACTGAGGGGGAGACACAAATCCGAAGCAGGCTCCAGGCTCTGAGCTGTCAGCACAGAGCCCTATGCGGGGCTCAAACTGTGAGATCATGACCTGAGCTGAAGTCAGGTGCTTCAGTGACTTAGCCACCCAGATGCCCCTCATTTCTTTTCTAAGTAAACTCACCATTTAACGTGGGGCTTGAACTCACGACCCTGAGATCAAGAGTCGTGTGCTCTCCCCACTGAGCCAGCCAGGTGCCCCTATTTCTGTTGTTCTAAGCCTCTTGGTTTGTGGCTTTTTGTCACAGGAAACCAATACAGGGTCCCCCCTCACCCCAGGCTCCAATGTGTTTCCGGGGGAACCCCGAAAGAAGGCAGAAAGGATGGCTGTGTTTAGGGGATTGATGTCAAAACGCCAGGAAAGAGGATTTAACAGTCCCCAAGTGCCGGGCCACCTCCATGGACCTCTCTGGGCCTCAGAGCAACCTCTCCGGGCCTCTTTGGGACCCCAAAGGAATTTGATCCAGTTGGGTCTCTGAGCTTTTCTGCAGCTACCTGGGGCCCTAGAAGGTCCCAAATGGGGGAAACCAAGGCAAAGAGACGCGCTGAGCCTAGATCTGGGGGTGGGGGGGTCTCTTATCTGGATTCCACCCTCCTCAGTCCAGGAACTTCCTCAGTTTTGTGAGCCCAGCCTCCCTCCTCTCACTGGAAGGGGGTGTTCAGAGCCCTCTGGGTGAGGGCCCGACGGAAGTAGCCCCAGATGGGGTGCCCAGTGCAGACCAATGAGAACCCCAGAGGGGAAAGACTGGTCATTTCCTCCTTGCTGTTTGCACCCTCCCTTGGGGTTTAAAAACCACGGTCTGTGGGCAGGAGGGACCTTTGATCAGCGGGGAGCCCAGGAGACCTGAATATGGTGAGTTCCCCGCTCTGCCCTCCCCGCCCCTCCCAGGGCAGGATCGTGGGTTTAGGAATCATCTCCCTTCCCTCTCGCCTTGCTGGGTCTCTCTCTCCCCACCTCTCCCCTTCTCGCTGTCTCTCCCTTTCCTTCCTCCTCTCTGGGTTCTCCGTCTCCCCTCTTCTCCCCTGACCCTCAATTCAGACTCTCCAGGGCTGGGAAGCAGCTAAAAAGTAAGATCAAGGGATTATCTGCAAGTCCGCAGGGCCGGGATCAAAGAGGTCCCCAGGGCAGGAAATTGGCGTGTTGGACCGGGTTAGATGACCAGATCCTCAAGAGGAGAGATCTAGGAGAGAACGGCAGGAGCAAATGTTGGGAGCCTGCAAGGAGCCAGCTTGCAAGGAAGGGAATTATTCACCCGGGCTTATAGGTGTTCTGGATTGTAGACACAGGGAAACTGAGGCCCAGGGAGGAGCAGAGATGGCCCGGGTCCTTCAGTGGTTGGTGGCAGGCCCAGGCTGCCCCATGGGTTCTATGAGTGTCAAAGGGAGACTGTCCCCAGGCCCTGGGAGGGCTCCCCGCTCCCCCGCCCCTGCCCCCTTGTGCGCCCAGTGCTGGGGTTGAGAGAAGCCGGGCTGTGATTTAGCACCTGCCTCGCTAGGGGTTCTGGTCTTGCCTCATCTGGCTGAAAGAGGAAACGGAGGATGCGTTAGCTGACCAGGGAGGGGCTTGGCATTGCCTCACCCCACTTTTGAGACCTGGCTGACGCCAACGGGACTTTGCGAATAGGACCGATTGCTGGCTTCGACTTCTTCTGGCCATAAAACGGTCCCAAGTACCAAAGTGGATTCAGTGAAACGTCATTCTCCCTGCCCAGCCCAGAGCCTCAGACTCCTCGTCACGGCCCCCCTGAGGCAGTGGTAGGCACCCCTTTGTGTTGGATCCTTCCAGAAACAGTCTACAGGTGCTCAGGGACAGATGTGTGGGGAATATAGGAGGGGGTAGTTTGACGTGAGGGTCACGTCGAAATAAGCTTCAATTTCTGTCTCTCCTGTGCGATAGACAGGCAGACTCCTCTTTCCTGAGCTTCCTTCTCTTTACCTTTAAGATGGGAAAACAGGGGTGCCTGGGGGGCTCAGTTGGTTAAGCATCTGACTTCGGCTCAGGTCATGGTCTCATGGTTTGTGGGTTCGAGCCCTGCGTCGGGCTCTGTGCTGACAGCTAGCTCAGAGCCTGGAGCCTGTTTCAGACTCTGTGTCTCCCGCTTTCTCTGCTCCTCCCCCACTCGTGCTCTGTCTCCCTCTCTCAAAAATGAATAAATGTTAAAAAATTAAAAAAAAATAAGATGGGGATAACAATCCTACAAGCCTACAGAACCTAAGCCTACAACGTAGGACCATTGAAAGAATTAAATGATACACGGAGAGCTCTTATGTGCATGGTATACAGTAGGTGCTCAATGCATGTGACATGTCTATCATTTCTTCCCCCTGCAAATAGAAGTACGTTCTATGCATTAGCCTACATCTTGCTTTGTTTCTTGAGTAACATATAGTGTTATTAATCAGTATTTATTGAGCGCTTGCTGCATGCCAGGCGCTGTCCTGTGCACTTTCCATCTACAAGGAAGACATTATTGGGATCCTTGTATATTTCAAGGGAATTTCTTCTTTTCTTTTTATCCACTGTGTCCCAGTCTTCTAGGAGGGTCTGTCCCCTGTCAATAGAGATTTAGTTTGTGTCCCATGTTTTGTCTTTTTTTTTTTAATTTTTAAGTTTATTTATTTGCTTTGAGAGAGAGAGAGGGAGAGAGCGAGAAAGAGAAGGGCAGAGAGAAAGGGAAGGAGAGAGGATCCCAAGCAGGCTCCACACAGTCACCACAGAGCGTGATGTGGGGCTTGAACACATGAACCATGAGACCGTGACCTGAGCCCAAATCAAGAGTCGGCCACTTAACTGACTGAGTCACCCAGGTGCCCCTGTCTTTATTTTTTTAATTTAATTTTATTTAAACAAAATTTTTAGGGGTGCCCGGGTGGCTCAGTCAGTTGAGCGTGTGACTTCGGCTCAGGTCATGATCTCACAGCTCCTGGGTTTGAGCCCCGCGTCAGTCTCTGTGCTGACAGCTCAGATTCTGTGTCTCCCTCTCTCTCTGCCCCTCCCCCACTCGCTCTCTGTCTCTATCTCTCAAAAATGAATAAATGCTAAAAAAAATTTTAAATATATTAAAAAAATTTTCATGCAATCTCCACCCCCAATGTGGGGCCTGAACTCAGGACCCCGAGACCAAGAGTCACACACTCTACCAACGGAGCCAGCTAGGCACCCCCCTCCCCTACATTTTGTCTTTAAAACCAAAGTTACATCTTTGGACCCAAGTCTGGGGTTCCGGAACTGCAGATATGGAGTCCACGGGCAATTTCTCTTTTAACAGATATCGCCAAAAGTTATACCAACTTACACTTCCCATCTGCAGTGCAGGAGAGTGTCTTCCTTCCCACCCCAGCCCCGTCCCCTCCCCCACCTGCACTATTACATCAAACTTTTTTTACTTTTGCCAGCCTGAGAGGTTTGTGTGTTTTTTTTATGTGGTTTAAAAAATGTGAGTGTTTGTAAGTCAGGATGCCCACTCTCACTCTCATATCCCATTTCTCAGAGGACACGACCTCTATTGGCTCAGTGTGTTTCTGTGGGTGTATTATCTAAAGATGTCGTGTCCATGCAGGAGCAGGGAGGGGGGTGTTCGGGAGGGAGGGGGGAAGCAGACCTTGCCTGCTGCGTATGTATACAGAAGGCGCTGATGGCATTCCTCAATGGGTCTGTTCTTTCCACTTTATTTATTTATTTATGTTTTATTTATTTCTGAGAGAGAGACAGCGTGATCAGGGGAGGGTCAGAGAGACAGGGAGACACAGAATCCGAAACAGGCTCCAGGCTCTGAGCTGTCAGCACAGAGCCCGACGCGGGGCTCGAACCCACCACTGTGAGATCATGACCTGAGCCGAAGTTGGACGCTTAACCCACTGAGCCACCCAGGTGCTCCGGTTCTTTCCACTTTAATGAGGCCGCCGCCCACAGGATCTCCCCTGCTTGGAAGGCTGGGGAAACAAGCCAAGAGACAGAGGCGAGGGGCTGGGACAGTGTTTACTCTGCACCAGCTGCACCTTTGTGTCCAAGTCACGCATCTTCTCTGTGCTTTCAAATCCTCCTCCTTCTCTTCCTCCCGTTGACCGTGACCCCCATCCGAGCTCCCATCTTCAGTGGGCTGAGCCCCTCCTCACCTCCTCTCTGGTCCTGCTGCCTCTCGTCTTCACCTCTGTGTTTCACCTTCTCACAGTGGCCGGAGCGATCTTTCTACATGGACGCTAATCTAGTCCCTCTGCGGATCCAAGACCGCCCATGACTCCCTATTACCCAAGGATAAAATACAAATTCTTTTTTTTTTTTTTTAATTTATTTCTTAGGAGAGAGAGAGACAGCATGAGCAGGGGAGGGTCAGAGAGAGAGGGAGTCACAGACTGAAACAGGCTCCAGGCTCTGAGCTGGCAGTCAGCACAGAGCCCGACGCGGGGCTCGAACCCACGAACCGCGAGATCATGACCTAAGCGAAAGTCGGACGCTTAACCGACTAAGCCACCCAGGCGCCCCAAAATACAGATTCTTTTTATTTTATTTTTATTTTTTTAATATTTTTATTTATTTCTAGGAGAGAGAGAGACAGCGTGAGCAGGGGAGGGTCAGAGAGAGAGGGAGTCACAGACTGAAACAGGCTCCAGGCTCTGAGCTGGCAGTCAGCACAGAGCCCGACGCGGGGCTCGAACCCACGAACCGCGAGTTCATGACCCGAGCGAAAGTCGGACGCTTAATTGACTAAGCCACCCAGGCGCCCCCCAAAATACAAATTCTTTAACACGGCACGGGTGGACCTTCCCGCCTCGTCTTGGTCACCTGCCAGCTACAGGGCGGTCTTTCATCCCCTCGCCCGCAGCGTGCAGCTTTGGGTGCACACCCCCACTCCCACCGTCCTGGAGGGCTCTAAGGCTCAGGATTTCTGGGAAAAACTCAGTTGTCCCAGCTGTGAAATGGATGTTGCAATCGGCCCTTAAAATGAGCCTGTGAGAGGCGCCTGGCCGGCTCAGTTGGTGGAACGTGCAGCTCTTGATCATGGGACTCTGGGTTCGAGCCCCATGCTGGGCATAGAGATTACTGAACAATAAAATCTTGGGGTACAAACTGCATCTGTGAACTTAGGAGCCCTAGGACCCCACTGGCTGTTGGGACATAAATGCTGTTATCAGTTAATTAATGACACCTGGGAGGCGCTTAGAACAGCACCTGGCACCGAGCGGTCCCCTTGGGGCCCCTGACCCGCGCTGTACCATCATGTCCCCACTACCCGCATGTGGTTTTGAAATTTAATTAAATTGACATAAAATTCAAAGTTCAGTGCTTCAGAGATGTCGGTCACGTTTCACGCACCTGGGAGCCGCACATGGCTGGTGGCCACCCTCCGGGACATGCGCTGGCATTCCAGAAAGTTCTATTGGCTGGGGCTGCAGGCTGTCCTCATCCCACACCTGGCTGGGCTCTCCATCGGGCACCCAGTTCTCATCACTGGTGCTTAATCTCTCTCTCCTCGTGGGCTGTAGGCTCTCCGCGGCAGTCCTGTCGCCGGTTAACACGATCGCAACAACGAAAAGCTTAGAATTGTCCTAGAAGGGGGTGCCCGGGTGGCTCAGGGCGTTAAGCGTCATGACTCTTCATTTCAGCTCAGGTTGTGATCTCGCAGTTGGTGAGATCGAGTTCTGCATCGGGCTCTGTGCTGGCAGCCAGGAGCCTGCTTGGGATTCTCTCTCTCTCTCTCTCTCTCTCTCCCCCCTTCTCCCCCACCCCCGCATCCCCCCAGCAGCCATCTCACATGCTCTCTCTCTCTCTCAAGATGAATAAGTAAACTTAAAAAAAGAATTGTCCTGGAATTGTGGAATCACAAATTCTTTTACGTTTTCTGTAAAACATCC